CTGCCACTTTAAGGACCTGGAGCTGGCAGCCTCCAGGTGCCTAATGAGGGCAGCCATTTTAGGTCCAGGGCTGACTGTATAAACAAGGCAGTTTGGCTACTGGAGGTCAGGCAACAACACTGCCTAGCCTAACGGCTGTTGAGTTTCATTTGGAGGTAAGGGAGGAGCTGTAGGGGATGGTAGGAGGCTCCTGGTCCTGGGTACGACTGGAAACTGCACCCTGCCAGAAGTGGGTGGCCTGGTGGGGCTCCCAGTGGTGTGGGAGCCCCCAGGAAATGCCAGGCCAATGATCACCAAGATGAAAGGTGAGTTGGGGCATCTAAACCCCTAGCCCTCACCTTTGGGTGGGTTGTGCACACCGGAGGTAGTTGTGGGGGTGAAAGCCCCAAGGAGGAGAGTTGGAGGCCAGCTGTGGCCAAGGCTGCCTGAGCCCTGTGGGGGGTTCAAGACCCCAAGAAGAGGTGGGGCCAGGCATGGCTATGGCCACCTGAGCCCACCTGTGGAAGGAAGCCCTGAGACCCTGAGTAAAGGGGGCGTTACGAGCAGTGGGAAGCCCCAGTGTGAGGGGGGGGCAGTGTGTGTAGCCCTGTGAAGGGAGAGGGGGCTCAGCCAGAGAGAGAGCTGAGTGCTGACCCCAGTAAGTCCTCCTTTGCTGGGAGGCAGAGTGTGGGTCAAATACTACACTGGTAGTAGCACCACGACCTGCTGCCCAGGGGGGAGTGAGAGTCCCCTGTGAGACCCTGAGGCACCAGTCATGGTGTGAGGTAACCCTAGCTCCCCCATGTCTGTGGAGGAGGACCCAGAGAGGGGGACCCTGGGATAAGAGTATGGGTTATCCATCAAGGCCTGCCAGAGCTTCCTCTGGCTGGCCCAGGTGGGGGCCAGGACCAGGAGGGTCAGAAGGGCAAGGAGGCCCACCAAGAGGGATGCCCAAGAGCCAGGGGCCTGGAGTCCCGACTGGTCTGGAGGTGGGCTGGGGCTAGTGTGAGCCGAAGGTCCCAGTGAGGGGACCACACCCAAAGGGGAACCGGTGGCAAGGAGATATATGGCCCGGTATGATGGTGGCAGAGTCTGCCTGAAGGGAGGCACCCAGGTGGGGGTCCTACAGCAGGATTCTGGGGCCCATCG